AGCCCTAGCATGGGCAGTTACGAACTTATCAGCCATTTCCTCGAACGTCTCTATGGAGCATGGAGGTAGCTGTGAGTACCACGTTAGTGCTTCCCCCGGTGAGGGTTTCACCAAACTTATTGAGCAATATGGAAGATGCTTGTTCTTTGGCGAGGTCGTTGCCTTTTACTGCGGTGACATAGTGGGGGACATGATCCTCAGGGTCAGCCGTGCCATCATATATTTTCAAGTATAGTGGCATTTTAAAGGTTTTAGGTATTGCGTGCAACGGTTGCTCAATGAATTAGCCGACGTCCCCTTTTGGTAAGAGTTTTGGGGAGCCGAGTATCTTATCTACCCTTTCTTGATGTTCTTTCATTTGGTTACGGAGCATTTTGTTCTCGTTCTCCATCTCCTCCATCTTCCTCAAAATGGCCGTGAGGGTGTCGTTACATGCACTACTAACGTTGTAAGTAATACCTGTTACAAAAGGAGGGTTGTTCTGCTCGTCTGTCACTGGTGCGATGCAGACTCCCGCAGTTTCCCTGTTCGTCCTTTAGGCGCGCTTGTCGAGAATGCTGGTCAACGTGTTTGTCAACCACACCTCGAGCAGCTTTTTCACTATTGGTGGTGCCTCTTCCACTGTGGATATGGAGGCCCATTTACCGTGTGAGGTTGTGATGCTGCCATGAGGATGGGCGAGCCGTTTCGCCTGGGAGTTGTATTTGATGTTACGTCCTCACCCTCTATTTCATCAACTTCATTGATGGTGTTACGTAGATTAGCAATGAAGTCGGCTTTTGCTTTGCTCTTTTCCTCTCCGTTACCTGCCATTTTAGATTTGTGTACACAAGGAAGTGTTGTTTTTTTTTTGCATTTTTTTTTGTGTTATAGATCTAGAGGAAACTAAAATTCTAACTAGAAAATCCCCACAGACGACGCCAAATTATTTCACCAAAAAGTATAAAACTTTTTGTTAAACTGATTGAGTAAAAAATATAAGGGGCTAATTCTAGTTAAAGATAATAACCTTGGATCTATAACAAGTTTATGCGAATAACGTGGGGACCATGTGAAAACGAATTTAATGCAATACACCTTAAGTGTTACGGTTACTAATAGAATGAGGATAATGAAAACCAATAAATATAATAAATGACACTAAATATAAATAAGGAGGAAGATTCACCCAATATTGAATGAGATGAATGATTCATTCCTCTGACAATAATGAATGACAAGAATATAAGAGAATATTGGGCACTTCCTCGGATATGGTGGAAATGACAAAAGATAATCTAAAAAGATTGAATCTCTTCAGAAAGTTGTTCTTTGTATTTATCTAGATAGCTTACTTTTCAAAAGTGTTCTTATCATAAGGAATATTACATGCCTTTGGCCTTATCTCTCCTACTATTTATATGAGATATTCCCAAAGAACCCTAAAAGGTACAAACAGAGGGAATATTCAATGGGATATTCCCTTTGAAGGTTTCAAACCTATACTAGCCATTACTTCTGTCCACGTTGCTCGACCTCGGCCCTGATGAACCACTCAGCGGCTTGTTCTGTTAACCACTGATCGACCTCGGCCAAACTGCCCATATTGATTTGCAGGTCACTCATGACAATCGTCTCCGCATATCGAATTTCTCTAGTTCGATTGTGACCCATACAATTATGTCTATCAGAAAATATTTTAGTTCGCATTGATGGGTAACAACTCTTTTCTTCATCAAATGTTTTGTTTATTTGCTTTAGGTTTGACAAATTACATCTCTGATTTTAAATTATGATCAATTGTCGCCCATCTGCTGAGGTCTTTTATACTATTAATCTATGAAATTGGATAATTCAGTTCCCATTCGAATACAAAGTTTGCTACTATAGTTGTTGGTCGAGAAAATGATAAATATATTCACTAATGTTTGGGAGTTGGATTGCCATTCTAGCTAACAAAAAACTTGTTCTTGATTTTTCTGGTTTGGTTGTCTTCCTTTTACCATTTTCACCAAAAAGGATGTTCCCTGCAAATTCGCCTAAAACGCTAATATTAATGTTCTTGTATGTGCCTTGTGCTGCTGCTTCTTTACTACCCCAGCCTAAGAAAGTTGAACGAAATATGCTCGATAAGGCCAAGAGTATTTGGATGGAAAGACTACATTTGCTAACTGGGTGGATAGTATGCAGGAGAGAGGAATTGCTTTGTGTACACAATGACAATAATATAAGTCAGAAAGTATAGAAACTCGGATAATGTCCATCCGAAGGTGATGGGGCAGGAGGACAATAGATTCAGCTGCACTCGATAATCAACACAAAAACGTATAAGTATATAAATCATTATTACCACATAATGTGAAAAAAAAAACTGAAATATTGCTATTTCGGGCACGAAAATAATGAGCATTATCAACTATAAATGCCCTCATAAGAACAACTATACCGTATTGCTACACCTTATAGATAAATACTATATTAGTGGAGTAAATGGTAAGAGAAGCCAACCCAATCAAGTATTAAGGGTAGATTTTGCAATCTCGTGGTTTCCCCCAAGGACGGAGACTTTCTGGCCTGAACATAAAACCTCACATTTACCAATCTGTCAAAGCTCGAGAGTGAAAAACACTAGAAATAGAACAAAAATTTGTTCCCACTTACCGCATGAACAAAATTGAGATTCTACAACAAATAAAACTGAATAATGAATTTAGAAATTGTCCAATATAAAAAGCATGAAGATCCCATTAGGATACGAGTGAGCAGAGAAAGGATCCAGGATTTCATCACACCATTCACATAATTTACATGTCCAAGAAACTCTGAGAACATTTTGATGTTATATCATACAATCAGAATTTCAAACTTTACTATGTTGATAACTAATATCTGGGAAATGTAAAATGATCTCTATTTTGTTTGTCTATCTGAGCAAACCTGGACCAGTCTTAAACCACGCAATGCAGAGAATAGCAGTATAAGAGATGCCATTAACGGGAACATTTTCCATCCTACGTAAGCAATAAACTTGTAATACAGAAATCAAAGGAACAATAGGACATAACTGGCACTTTTGCTTCTGTAGAGAACAACATCATGCAAAGCATAAAATTTCAGCAACGCTATATTTTCTTGATAAGGCATGGAATCCCAGCAATATTATATCTCTTAGAAAGAGACTACAGCAGCTTTCATATTAACTAATTTAAGAACTGGTTCAATATTAACTGGCTTTTGGGTGGAGGTAGAAAGCCAACGTATAGACATTTTCTAGATGCTTCCTCTGATAACACTATCCCAAAGAAAGATTCCACTTTTAGTAACAACTATCATAATATGAAATGAACACCAGTTATATTCCCTCCAGCTTCGTATCGCTACCACATTTTCCATAAGGTTCTTATCCAATAGATAATCCCCTAAAAGGGTGCACATTGTTGAATGATACTTTGAGCCCGGGAATAAGAATCCCAATACATTACACTCATTAGTACCTTATAACAATTAGCAAGTCTTCTGAAGAGCTAATGAAAAGAACAATATATATTGGGAGTTAACTGCATCACGGACAAACTCCATAATATGGTGAGACTTCAGCCTCAGGTTGAACAAGTTCATCCGATATTAACAAAGAAAACTACAGCTTCCTGATGCACTTTAGAAGATTGAGATCAAGGAAAAAAGTATTGCTCGATGCATTGAGAAAGATTAAGACAAGGGACAAGAACCACAAAATGCCACACAACAATGGACAGAAAACAAAACAGTTGGCTACTAGTACTAGTCATCCTCATAACAAAACTGCAGACAACTGCAGTTGAACATGTCATAAAACAAACTACGTTCCTTCAACTCTCTCCATTCATTTTCTGTAAAATTCTTTCCATCTTGATCCTTTCCAAAATGATTTAAGACACTTACGTATAATGGAAGCTTTTTAAAGTTAACCATTCCCATTATGCATTTTTTTAAATCAGTAAAAAGAGAATATTTGCATTTTACACTTAATCACATGTTCTTACAGGAGTTTACGTGATATGTTGACCCTACTAGATACTATGGACACTAATGGGTATGTCATACTCCCTGTGTCCCAATTTCTGTGATGCAATTTTCGTTTTAGTCTGTCTCAAAAGGAAAGATACATTTCTATATTTAGAAACAATTTAACTTTAAACTTCCTATTTTACCCTTCATGAGTTGATTTATAGCCACACAATTATCTATAGCTTGTTTTAGACCACAAGTTTCAAGAAATCTTTTTTTTCTTAAATTTCGTGTACAGTCAAAATGCATCACATAGAATGGGATGGAGGAGTACATATTTAACTTATGTGTCAAAAGCATAGGTTTTTACTTAAATTGTATGTCCTTTTCCATCTTCCCTTTGCATGTGCATAATCAAAGTGAGAAGCAAAAATGCAAAACCATGTCTGTTAGTTTTCCTATCTTTAGGTTGCACATTAGGTGAAATATGCACTGAAATTGAAGATTGGATATAGATAATATGAGGACGTCTGACTACTATCTAGGAGTAGAGTGAAATTTCGAAAACTAGAAAGGAGATATGCATATTTATATGTTGCGAAATAATAAATGCATTTTTGAAATATTCACTATTTCCAACAAACCTTGAGAAGATTCCTCCAGCAGAAGCAGGCAATAGCACTATAGCAGTGTATTCACAGGACAAACTAAACATGATAGGAAATTAGCCAAATTTGTTTGAGGCTCCAATAGGGAACCAACCAGCCCAAGAAAGTTCCATGAAGTCTAACCTAAATTAAATATTAAGAGATCCTTGCAAATGATTTTTAATTAGTTATACTCTTTTTCCTCAAGTCTTTCGAGAGAAGGAATTAGCAAAAACATAGAACTGTCAGAAAGTCTTAACACCTAAGCCAGAGCACCAGAATATATATGACACATCAAAGGCAACATATTAACAATATGCAGTCAAAAGCAAGATGATAGAGTCGGTAATGGAAAAGAAAAGCTGCAAATATACTCAAATGGAGGAGTTAAATCAGGCAAAGCTTTAGAAATCTCCTGGTTGTTTCTCATTATTTATTCATAGTAATATGATAGGAAGGTGACAACTCTTTCAGAGAGACAAATTCAATGTATTTAACTATATACCACCTTATATACTCGCAATGTGCATTCTGCATCATCACAAGAATCATATCTATTATGAGCAAAATCTTAGAAAGAATCATAAGAATTTCGCTGTGCTCTCACACAATACGTTACTATATGAACATCTAATGCTATGAAAAATCTAACCCTAGCAGAGTCTAACAAGAGTGAGAACACACACAAACCATGCAGAGAAAGAGAAGGGACCAGCATACGCAACTAGGGGGAAACAGAATCTTCCTAGGACCTTGAGATCATGCTACAAGATCGAGCCAATCGAAACTTCATGCTGCCTCCATCTACGGTAGCCTCACTCTCAACTGGACCATGGTTGTACTGCTTCCTGCAACCTGGACAACGACCATCCTCCTCAAGAATCCTCTTGTGGCAAAAAAGGCAAAGTATGAAGCCACATGTACAAGGGTGAAAACTCGTGTCTGTAAGATCCAAATCCTCGCAGCATATAGGACATGATGTGGGTACCGATAACCTTTTACATCCCCATACAGCACCTCCACGGCAATGCCGCTCAGAATTCATAGGGAAACTATATTGCTTAGACAAGTTTGGCAGAATCTGTGGACGGAATGCATCGTCGGGCCTCCATGCCTTGCAACTAACTGGAGGTCTAGATGCCAAACCTCTGTGCTCAGACTTCTGCTTTGTTGTATCAATACCTGTAACCCCATTAGAAATGTTGGTCCGAGAACTCAAATGCACATTCTCATCCTTCTCTCGAGGCGAATCCAAACCAGGATGATGCTGCTCCAGCTTCTGATCAGTCGCAGCCAAAGCATCTGCAACAGCCTCCCAATCGTCCAAGCAGTCATCATCATCCCCCTGTTCATCTTCTTCACTCAAACTTCCTGAACAACACCCACCACTTCCACTGCAACTGCTAATACTACTGCTGCTGCTCCCTGCAAAATTGGCCGCAGAATCATTCCCTTCCATAATACTACTAGTATGGCTTATGGGACTGTTAGAATTCGAATCCGAATAGCTGTAGTGGTTTGAGGAATCAATATTTACTTCATTGTCTTCCTCCGCTCTCGGCTTTATCTCTAACTTCTCTATCAACCGGCCCCTCTCGTTTGCAACATTAGTTGCCGGAGCCTGATTCCCTCCAACATTCATTTCATCCTTCGACCCTTTGTTCTTCACTATACAAAAACCCAGAATAACCAAGAATTAAAAACATACAAGTATAAAAGTTAAATAAATAATCACATAACCACTGTATAGTACTATTCTTGAATTAAAAAAGAATACTATATTTTTTAAAAAATCACCAAAGAGAATTACTGATACATGCAAGATATATGGGAAAGGGGGGATCTTTGACAACCTTGTGAAAGCCACTGCTCGCGTCGAGCATCAAGCTTGCACTGCTTCAACTTGGCCGACCGGTTAGCCTGACATTGGCAGAAGAAAATCTCAGGAATTTAACTCAATCTTTTTACTGCAGAAATTTAATTCAATAAGAAACTTCAAGAAATATTGATCCATCAACTTAACAAGAGTCAATTTCACTAATTGTCAGGGCTATATCCAACTAGATTAACTCATATTTTTACAATTAAAATTCAGTATATTAAATTCCAAGTACTATATGTTGCAATTTTGTCAGGAGCTAACTATTTTGGAGAATAAAGAATACTAGAAATTATACGAATTGGAAAAATTAAAGAAAAAAGCAAAAATATAATTTCCCCATATTACAAGAAAATACTATAAGTTGCAACTTCCCAATATCAACATGGTAAAAAAAAAATAGTGCCAAATATTTAAACCAAAAATTTAAAAGATATGGAAGAAAATAAAACAAAGTTACCCTTTTTTTCTTGGCGAAATCTTTGGGATTAGAGGAAGCGACAGGGATGGAAGCGTTAGGGATTGAATCAGAAACCATTGCTAGTGATTAATCGATTGGTCCAGAGAAATGAAAAACCCCTAAATTGATCAGAAAAATATCAAACTCAAGAATTTAGGAGAGAGAAGGGAGATGGTATTGGTGAGTGAATGAGAGGGGATAACAGAAAGTGGAGATTATGTGCTTCCTTCACTTTTTCAGACTTGTAAAACCAAACGTTAACCACGGAAGTGCGTATATATAGACTAATTTATGTCCAGAATTGACCTTAGTTTTAATGCAAATATCTCTGCGGCCAAAAAGATGACGCGAAGAGTAATTGAAATATCTAGGGGTGATAACGACTTTAGGGCTGTGAGTATCGAAGGACGGCAGAAACGACGTTGTTTGATGAATGTGCCAACTTTTGGGTAATTCGTTGGTCCCAATTAGGTGAGTGCAAGAAAAACCAAAAATTGAAATGAAACTAAATGATATGAAAAACTAAATCGGCGTAAAAAAAATAAGCGTGTACTTTAGTTTAGTATTATGATAATTAGTAAAGCACGATACGATTTAATATTCAATAAAAGCTATTGATAATATAATATTTTATAAATTTAACACAAATATCTATTTATTTATGTGGATATTTTTTAGAATTTTATATGACTCTTGCATAATTATCTTTCTTTTTCATTCTCTTTTTTGAGATGGTTTTTTTGCGTATTCATGACACTTACCTGCAATATTATGTTAATATATGACTACTAGTTTTAGTGTACACGAGCTGCGCATGTACCCTTGTATTTGTACCATGTATAAAGAAGAAAAAACTTTTTGAAAATAGCATAATTAATTATTTGAAAGAAGTGGTTGTGTTATATCTCTATTTTCACTATCTCAATTCAGTTCTGAAGCCAAAGAATTTGATAGCTCATGGTCTTAGATAAGTGAGGATAATGATTGTCGCGTAAATCTCTATAAGAAGTTAAACAATTGTTTCATGTAAATGAATTTATTTATTTTATTGATTTTTTGAATCGGTTACAGTTAGCTTATTTCTTTTATCATTAAAATTAATATTTTTTTTCGTCAATAGGAATTAAAATTGATATATTCAACTTCATATTATATTTTAGGTGTATCAATTTTTATTCTCGTGTCGCAATCAATCATGTAACCATATATTTTATACATATATTTGGTTCATAACATGAACCTAAAGCTCTGATACCAACTTGTCATGACTCCAATTTTTCACCTTACGATATCGTGATGACAGCTAGTCCCTAAGACTAGGTAAGCCTAACATGCATAGAGAAATAACGAAAATAATAATAGAACTTCAATTTAAACAATCTAAACTATTATAACATAGCTCAATAGTACATCCAACAAATAACTCCCAAAATTTAATGGAACTGAGTCATAAGCTCTACAAAATATTCTAGAACAACTTCTACAACACTGTCTAAATAAAAAAGTAACAGTAACGAGAAGATAACTGAAGATGACCAAGGCCTGCGGATGTCGGGAAGGTATACCTTGAAGCGTCCTAAAAGCAGCTAACCAATCAATCTCTAGTGTCCAGCAGGGACAGACGTACCAAGATCTAGACAAAGATGTGTATAAGCATAGTATGAGTACACCACAACGGTACCCAGTAAATATCAAGTCTAACCTCAGTAGAGTAGTGACGAGGCCAGGTCAAGACACTTACTACGACAAGATAAACAGAACAAAAATGTGACAACGGGAAGTAATGGAAAGAGGAGAAATGAATGATAATAAAGTAGTTTAGCAATGTAAACTAATGACAGAATTTTAAGCAACAGGAAACAAGAAGGAAACACATAATGAGAACCACAAATAATAAATTACGGACAAAACTAATAGGGCAATGAAGAACAAAAGCAACAAGAACTATTCAACCAATAAATCATTGCCATATGAAATGCACAATAAGAATTCACAACTGAGATGTTGCCTCGTATTCATATTTCACAAGTTCAATTGCAAACTTTCCTTTATATAACCGAGTGAGCCTTACATTTAGTTTTAAAAATTATTTTTTCCAAAATAGCTACACGCGTTTTAGCCCGCCTTATCACATTGCGTGACTTCAAGTAGTTCCCCTACTAGCAACATACATATCAAGCTTATCTTATCTCATAGCATGTGTTTCAACCCCTAGCCTTAGACCACCACATGCGTATCAATATCACAACTCGCACCACAAGTGCCCGTATGCCACAACTTGCCACAAAGTCAACAATATCAATCTTTTCACAACAAATAGCACATGGCTCAACCACAATGTGCACAAGAATTTCAATAAAAACAAAATGAATGTAAATTTCTCAACAATTAACAACTTCATCTCAATGTGATAACGGCTTTTACAACTCCAACACCAATAACTCAAAACAAAGATATTCCACGAAATAACAATTTTAACTAAAGTAATTCAACAATTAAAGATGTAACAAGACAATAATGAAGACAATAATTCCAACTAAAGCATATAAGAGCATAATAATAAGTAAGAGGTAGAACAAGTGTTAATAATGTCAAATAAAATATGTTAGAGTAGGCTAACACATGTAAGAGTAGATTAACAATGAGAAATAAAACATCTTATGACAATTCAATTAAATGCATAGAAAGAGTCTAATAACCTAAATCGGTCGAATACCACATATAGCCCATGTACGCACTCGTCACCTCGCGTACACGTCTTTCACATAACACAAATAACACACTCAACCCAAATACTTACCTCAACTAGGCTAACTCAACCCTCGGAAAAAGCTTTTCCCCTAAAATTCTCCTTCACACGACTCAAATCTAACCAAAAGTGATTTAATATCTTCAAACAATGCAAGGGAAAACAATTACAATAGATAAAGCTTTTATCTTTACAAAATTCCCAAAAAGTCAACAAAAGTCAACCCCGGGTATGCTCGGTCAAAATTCGGGTCCAAGGGTAGATTCCGACTACCCATAACCCTACGAGTCCATATATGTGTTTTGTTATCAAATCTGTGTCAAAGTCGACTCTCAAACTCAATTTTTCATTTTTCAAAAAACTTGACAAAATTTCTCAATTTGCCTATTTGATTCTCATAAATTTGATGTTAAATCTAAGATATAATCATAAAATATAGTTGAAAATTGACTAGAATCACTTAATGTTTGCAGCTGAAAATCCCCTCTCCAAGTCGCCTCCTACCGAGTCTAGGATTCTAGATATGAGAAATGAGACTAAATCCCGACTTTTCTAATTTTTGTTCACTTGCAGATGTCGCAATTGTGACATTGGGTTTGCAATTGCAGACCTCACAATTGCAAAGAACTTCTCGCAATTGCGGCACAGACAGACCAAGGGATGCATCGCAAATGTGAACCCTGTTCCCAATGCAAATGCAACAAAAATATCTCAAATGTGAAACTACGTCATCTTAAGTCATCTTCGCAATTGTGACCCACGTATTGAAATTGTGATATTTGAGACCCCCTGCTATAGTAGCAATTGTGATCAGGTGTTCACAATTGCGACACCAGAGGCATCAGTACACTAGTAGTTTAGATTTAGATCAAAACCATTCCACGACATGTTCGAAGCTCATCCGGGGAATCGGGGCTCCAAACCAAACATCTACACAATTATAAAAATATCATACGAACTCGCTCGCACGATCAAAATATGAAAATAACATCTAGAACTACGAATTGGACACCAAAACACATGAGTTTCAAAGTAAAGTTTGAAAACTTCTAGAATTGCAACCAAGCATCCGAGTACTATCAAATCAACTCCAAATAATACCAAATTTTATAGACAAGTTTTAAATAGCATAACAGACCTATTCCAAGTCCCAAAACTAAATTCTGAACCCGATAGCCAAAAATCTTACGGTCAAACTTTTAAACCTCAAATTGCCAATTTTTGGCAAGGCAACACAAATTAATCTACAGACTTCCGAATTCGATTCGGGGAATATGCCAAGTGCAAAATCATGATACGAAGCTATCGGAGCCTTAAAAACACCATTCCGGGATTGTTTTCACAAAATTAAAGTTTGGTAAATATTTATTACTTAAGCTTCTAAGCCAAGAACCAAACAATCTAACTCAACCTGAAAGCTTTCCAGAATGAAACCAATAAACCTCGTAAGTCATAAAACAAAAATTACACATATTTGAAGCATCAAAAGGGAAACGAGACGCAAATTCACAAAACAACCAGTCAGAACGTTACATTCTTGTATACGGCAAAATCGGAGGGTCCAATTCCTCGTCATCGAGGCACCTCAGAAGATCATCTTGAAGCCTCGAGGCTACAAGGCTATGGTCGAGTCTCTTTCCTAGAGGTTCGTTGATGACCGGCCTTGGGATAATGTTGACCATGGCTATGGTATAAATGGGGAGTTCCCAAGGTACATAGCTAGGACTGACATGACCCTAACCCTAAATCAGGGTGTCATCTAGCTGTCCCTTCTCCACTTCTTTGTCATTAATGTATTTTGTACTATGTTGGGATTTTCCTCCTATATAAAGGGGATCCTTATCATATTAGAAACCTATGTTGCTTCAGTTGCTCCACCAAAAATATACAAGAACATTCTCTTTGCTCTCTAACATATTCTTTGATATTATTGCTCCCATTTATTGTTTAATTATTGTTTTCATTATTGTTCTTCATTTATTGCTTATCATGGGCTATAAGGAGCTTACATTAGTTTTACTCCAACTGTTAGTCATACTTTAATTACCTTCGATAGCTCCCAACCGAACTCCAAAATCGACCTCGAGGCCCCAGAATTGACAAGCTCGAGGCCCCGATTGTTAGCCTATCGGTTTGATTATCACCATATCCTTAACTCTCATTTCGTTTCTAAGTCTCACATACATAGCATCAACTGCTTAACAACTAGCATAAAATTAGATCACGTATTTTTAGAATACCATAATCAAATTTAATTGTTATTACCATTTTCACGGTAAACAGTTTGGCACCCACCGTGAGGCTAAAAATAATAGTGATTTTTTTGCTGGTTTTACTACATAACGTAAGTTACCTTTCACGTTTTCTCTTGTCCAAGATCTTCGATTTCAGGTCGAAATGTCTAACTCAGTGAATGGAGGTGAAAACAACAATCTTGAGGACCACGGAGAAAATGGTGTGGCTGCTCCAAGTGTTGGTGTGCCACCACAAAACTCTGGGAATGCACC